GTTGAGGCCAGCGAAGACCAGAAGAAGACTGTGCACGCTTTGATGGATGAGTTGAACAAGCTTGAGGAGGAGCTTGCTGGTTCCAGCTGAGTGCGGTTTGTTCCATTTGGGTAGATGTTAGTTGTTGGTGAAACGGTCAAAAACGCGTGGTGTCTTGTGTTGAAGACAATGGGTGCACTGCATGCTTGCAGAGATTGCCAATCTTTTTGCTAGGATGAGTGTGGTCCCTGGGTGCATCAGAGGCTGCAAGTCATTTTTAGCTTACATTCCAGGCCAGGGCAAAGAAGTTCGGCAATCGGATCTGGCGTGACAGGGATGGCATGGAAGGACCGTGTATTATGAGCACATGATAGAAACATAAATGAAGAAACTAAATGATAAACAATGAAAGGGAAAGAGTCTCCAGTGATCGCCAGGCTTTTCTGATCTTCACATTAAGTTATGGATTTATTGATCAACTTCCCTTTGTTGAATCTGCTCTCTAGGTGATGATCCCGAAAGAGAGGTAAGGTGAGCAGGGTAATTAGCCCCAGCGGGATACTCGGACCTGCTTCCGCGAGCTCCAGTCTGCAGCATCCCTGATGGGCAGTAAGGTGGCGTGGAAGGAATTAAGTCTAGATGACGCTCTATTGATCCGTGCTTCCCACGTTTATCATAAACAGAAGGGGAAAACTGCATAGCATGCAGACTAGAGCAGCCATTTTGATGCTTGGCTACCTACGCGAGCTGACTTGCGAAACCCCTAAAGACGACCCAGGCACACGGGAGGCATAGAAAAACCAGTCTGTTGTCGATCCTAGATGTAATAGCGGGGCGCTCGGACTGCTTCCTTGAAGAATCCTACGCCACATTTCTCGACGGCAGTCGAGCTCAAAGGATTTCCTGGGTACCACGGCAAGTGAGAGAGGGGGGACGGCGGAATGTGGAAGGGGGAAGAGTAGGCAAGCCACACGAGCAAAGGGGAAAATTGCTGTTGACAGAGGTGAACAATAAGGAAAATGGTTCATGGAAAAACTTGGAGTGATAAAAGGAACGTAAGAGAGCTCTTGCCCAGAAACGATGAGTAGTAGCGACGTTAGACAGGCAATCAGGGCGCGAAGGACGGTTTATCAGGCCATTTGCTTGCGTTCCGTCATCCAGACCTTTCCTCATTCCAGCCACAATCGACAGAAAGGCTTGAAGAAAAGGACCCCAAGCTGACTGAAAACGGTTATGAGATCGGCGGTTCCAGCAAGAAGAAGAGGTCCTCTTGTCTCTCAAAGCCCTTCCAGAATAACCCCCAACGTCTTTTCTCGTCCGAGGAAAAGAATGAAAGAAGAAGAAACAAAAGAATTCTTGCTAAATATTGGGCCTCGCATCCAAACCTTGGATAGGGGTCTGTTTTGTCAAACCAAGACATGATTTTTCTCAATCGGGCCCAACACACGACCGTGGCGTTCTTCAGACTTATCCCAACGCGGCTGGGTCGCTTAATCCACGCCGCCACTCCAATCCCCGCATGCGTCGAACCTCTCAGTCTCTTCACCCATTGCCGCTCCAGATACGCGCAACGGACTCAAGCCTCGCGGCAAGCCACCATTGCAAGAGGGCAGGCAGACTGGCAGAGAGGAAGCGCTAGAGTCATGAGAGGCGGACGCTAAGACGAACCGGAGCTTTGGTACCATGGCGAGCACGGTGGTTTCCCCTTTTTCTTTCCCGCGTGAATGCGCCCGTCAGAAAGCATTAGGGCTGTCAATCTTTCGTATGGTGGGGGGACGGAGCCGGAGAGACCAAGTTCGAGAGCGTCCTGGTTCGGTTTTGGTGAAGGAACTGGAGGCAAGGCCTTTCCGGACGGAGTACCGTGCTAAATTCGTAAAAGAGCATTTGCCGGCCGCGAGTTTCGACGTTGCCGTGTGACGAGCCACACGTCCCACGGGTCCAGCAAAGAGCCGCCGGCGCGCTATGTGCTTGATTTGCTTTACTGGTTGACTTTTTCTCGAACGCCACACCGGATGCTTCCAGTGCTTTCGTTCCCATAAGGTCTCAGCAGTGCCCCCTTTTGAGGTTGTTCCACATGGGGTTTTCTTGTTCCTGGTCGATTCTCCGTCTGCAAGCCCCCCCCCCCCCTCCAGTCGCCCCCACCGACTCATCCTCTCGACAACGACGACGATAACCTCGTGGATATCTCGAGCCGAGTTGGGAAACGGACCTCATGTACAGGTGGTTTTAGCCAATCGGTTGTTACGAACATCCCTTTATTGGGACTCGTATACCCTTCATCATGACGTCTTTCATGGAATTGGTTGGCAAGGTGAATAACCTGAACGACCCGAGACCAGCATTGAATCAGAAGCCGGTGATGCTTGGCATCGTGATATCGTTTCTGGTAGGTTCCTCTTTTTTGGCACTGAGTACATTTATGTGGTGCTGTCTCAGAACATCATCTAATATGAAGTATGCAGATACTAGCACTGCTATGTGCTGGCCTGCGAGTATGGACCCGCATATTTATTGTTCGGGCGGTAGGATGGGATGACTTCTTTCTGGTGCTCGTCATGATTTCAATCTCAGTTGGGAGTATTGGCACTTGCATATGTATGTCACAATACCCTTGCATCAACCCCTGCCTACTTAGTCCACAGCAGGTACTGACGAGTGAATAAGCAATGGACTATGGGCTCGGAGATCATATATTATTCATACAGTATGACAGGTTCATCAAGTTCATGAAGGTAATCAATCCTCCCACTATAGTAGACATCTCAGTCTTACCATCTTGTACTAGATCTTCTACATCTGCAACGGCACATTACCGATATCAACATCCCTGATCAAGGTCGCCATCCTGCTCCAATACCTGCGAACATTTGAGCGTGGGTCGAAATCACGATTCTTTACTATCGTCATGATCTGCCTCGTGGCAATGTGGGGAGCTGCCTTCATCTTTCTCGCCTGGGTCCCCTGCATTCCCGTAGCAGCTTACTGGGACTGGTCAATACCCACCCGCGGACGCTGGGGTTTTGGTACGCAGGTTGCGGAGGAGCTGATTCGGACATACGAGGCCCATGCCACGAGCAACATGATTCTCGACTTCATCATCTTTGCTATTCCTTTACCGCTGTACTTCAACACCGATGCGAACAAGAGATCCCGTAAGAGCGTTCTCGGTCTCTTTTTGCTGGGCAGCCTGTAAGTTCTCATCTGGGCGAAACCCCACCATCGACTCGTTCCTCATGTGCTGACCGAGGGACTTTAGTGTATTGATGCTCTCTGCCTGGCGTCTCGTTTCCCTAGTCCGCTCCCGCGCAGGGACTTACCCAACCTTCGACCCAACCTGGGCTGCCCCGGGCCCCATGGCCCTCTCCATCCTCGAGATCGACATGGCCGCCATTTGCGCCTCCCTCCCCGTCTTCTGGCCCGTACTCCAGAACAGCATGGGCATGATCTTTGTCACGCACGAAGTCAAGGTCACCACGGAAACAGTCGAGACGACGCGGAGCCGCGACGACGACGAGTGCCTCGAGCTTTCCAACGGCGGCGCGGGAAGCAACGGCTCCTTTTCCTTTTCGCAGCAGAGCCCCGTGCTAGATACAGAGGGGCTGATTGAGCAGTATCAGCGGCAGACGGATATTTTTGGGAGTTATCTTAAGGGCAAGACGACGACGGACGTGGAGACTGTGCCGACGCCGCTCCGTGACGTGCCGCCGGCCAAGGAGCCCGAGATTTTTGGGAGTTATTTAAAGGGCAAGACTACGACGGATGTGAATGCGGATCCGACGATGAAAATGGTGTGATGCACAGAGGTTGGGTGCCACTGACGGCCTGGTCGGTGACCTGAGGTGCTTGTTTTAACGACGTGACGACCATATCCGGGACTATTGGTACAGAAAATGAGGGTGTTCGGGTTTTTCCTTCTTTTTTCCTTTTTCTATTACTATAGATACCTCTATTTTCATGTCATGGCCGAGAACACTAGGAGGATAAGTAAATCCTGAATAATTCCTGATATTTCACTACCATATGGCATGGACGTTTTGTGAAACCTCCAGTGCTTCACTAACGCAACTTCACACAATCAACCCAACCACTATCACGGTCATCTTCCACAAACCCGCTCTAGATTTGCTCAACTTTGACCTCCAAGTTGCGTGGATTGCTTTGAGTGAAATGCTGGATACCTTGCTGCTAGATATTTTTAGTACCAATAATAAGTAACCTATCACGTTCAGTGTATTAGCAACCTCATTTCACTGTATCAATCCGTCAATATGATTGGAAAGAAACTGGCACGTGAAATGTTCCGAATCCGTATTCCAGTCTAGTTGGTTAGTAAACTAGTTTGCCGCCTCCATCTTACATGGAAGTGAGCCTCTCATCGCCGGATGCAGTAAGTCCCAACGATCTCCGCGGAACTGATCAACTCCGTGACAATGAATGCGAGGGCAGATGAGACTATATATCCGGGATTCGCTCAGTGTTATTTCATTCCCGGAACACAGGCACGTAATACGGCAAAGCTTCGAACTTCGGCATCCACGAGATACCGGCACAAAGCACCCATATGAAACAAAGGCCCTCATCAACCCCGGCTGACTGAATGCTCAGTCCGACGTTGCCAGAGTATAGAGATCTCTAATTTGGGCTTGCTTACATCGAAACATTCTCCACCACGTCCAGACCATCGAGAACTTGGATACTTCCAAAGTCTCCATGATCCAATATGCCAAAGTCTACCTTGCGAATCTCTGGTTCGGGTAAGAAACGTGAAGATATTTTCATTGGATGTGCGTGTTGATCTGCTCGTTCCCACGTTTGCACGTTGGGCTTTGGCAAAGCGTTTCGGCTCCAATAAGAATTCTTCAATGGCCGAAATATTATCAACAAGATATGCAATTACTGCCATTCTTATCACTCTGCAACCATATTATGATGCCGCAGCTTGACCTTCCCCAATCTATCTGAAACCCTCCCTTCTCGATCTTCAACTACAATGGGGGCTCATCGAAAACAAGTGCAGTCAACTACTTCTCAGAAGATTTCTTAGACGACAAATCCACACCAAACATCCCCCCGCCAAGCCGGACCCCAAACTTCGTGGGACCAAAGCTGAACCGCGAGCCGTCAGTAGAAGAGACAGCGGCAGGGGCGGCAGCATCATCCTGCCCATTGAGCACAACTTTGAGGCCGCGCTTCTCAAAAAAGCCGCTGTTCCATCCCTCGACGATTTCCATAAGGCGCTTCTCCTCGTGCTCGCCTGAATTTGACGACTGCCTCCTGTCGTTAACGTCAACGGTTCTGTCGAGCGCCGCGGTGATGATGGAGGCAAAGGCGGCCCAATCCTGGACGGATATGTCGCGGGTCTTCCATACGTCGGCTGGGTCCGGGAAGGGGAGAGAGAGGGAGGTGGCGCTGGGCCCGACGATTATGTGGTGGATTTGGACGGAGTCTGGGCGTGGAAAGGGGGGTTGGCGGTCGACGGACGAGACGACGTCGTTGTAGGGCGGGGGAGGAAGATCAGAGCTCATTGTTCTCACGAGATTTGTGTACTGCCTTTTATGATCGATTCGAAATGGGGAAGTTCTTCATACGGAGTGTTTATGAGCGGTGTCCCAAAGTCTTGAAGAGGGTTCTAAAGCTGACGAGGTCCATGGCATCTTAAACCGAAAGGTCGAAAGTAGCCAATGCGACACATCCGATGCCGAAGTAGAATAGCCGGTTCGAAAACGCATCAAACCAACGGGCGAACACAATGCAGAATTCAGCTCTACAAAAGAGACTCTGCTGCGGCACAGCTCTGCCCCTCCTATGGTGGGTTGATACGATTAAGGACACCAGATATCAGGATACCCGTACACGTACGGATAGACATCGTCCCAACGCGGGATTGTTGGATCGAGGCTGCATATTCATGCATGGTTCACCAATAATACATGTCTTCACGATACAAACCAGACCTTGCGATAACACGGCAGGACGGAAGTGAGATCCTTACTCACGTAGGCTGGACTCATTCATTTCAACCGATGAGGTGTCCGCATCTCCTGCGGCCAGCCAGACGCGGGCTGTGCGATTCGGGTTTGCGATGACCGTATGCACCACCAATCAGCTTGTTTCTTTTGTTCGTAATACAGCGGCGCATACGGAAAGATAAGCAGGGGTCCCCTATTTTACCAGCAACATAAGTTCCTCACATTGTTGTAATTATTGCAGAACCAACAAGCGTTTTTCAGAACCAACACAGCCAAATCTAGACCCTCTCCCCGCGAAGCAATCTTTTGTGCCTCCTCAAATAGGAAGTTAGGGAATCCAAGGTCCTTGGACTAGCACATTGGTCAAGAGGGACGATGCAAGTAAGGCCTTTTGATTCGTTCTCTTCTCACCAACAAACAGAACGGAACGTGGAGTTTCCAATTCACGGGCCAAGCCCAGTTCGAACACATGCATCTCAAATCAGATCAAGCCTTTTGCTTCCCGCCAGTCCAGCTTTGGTAGCTGACTGTCCTGCGCCATGCTACCAGACCCTGGCAACACATCTCGTGGTCAAAACTCGTTTGATCCTTCAACCACGCCATTCCATGCAGAGGACAAGGATATTATAGCCGAGACTACCTACATTCTCAATAGCTGAACGTTCCAACGGTTCCGTCGCCTTGTCACCAGGAAGTGAGGCCTGTCGGTGCGGTTGGATGCCAGCAGTGCGATGTCTTCCAATACATGGTCATCATTCATAACAAGGGTTGCTCGTCTAGGCATATCTCACACCTCACCCTGCCCCTTACAGCCATTCAACCCACTAGAACTTACCTGGAATCGAGATCCGTGATGGACCTGCCATTTCAGTTTCACTCTCCTTGGCCATGCTGAGGGTTCCAGAATGACATAGCGTGAGGCACAGCAAGCCCGCCGATATTAGGGCAAGAACTTCGTTTCGGTTGGGCATGACTGAGCAATTGATGCCATCGAGAAACGGTAACGAACCAGTTCACCACGCAACCAATGCCGGGCTTCAGCTGGTGTGCCGCGTGCGGGATCTTGGCTTGTGGTTATCTCAACCCGAGAAGAGCCCGCAACTTACCTGCACCATCGTTGGACTTATAGCATTGGATAACCAAACATAAGCAGTCTTAACATTCACTCATGAAAAGATCAAAATTAATCGCGCCGAGATATCGAAAGTAGCCAACGAGATATGCGACGCTTTTCCATCAGCTCTGGAGCTGACAAAGTCCTAACCTATAGTACATAGCAGCTTGCTTTGATCTATACATCTTTCATATCTACTAAGAAATGCCTACTCTAAAAACATAATATGTCCTGTATTATGATATATCTAGATAGAGAGTTCGATATTATACTAAGACGAACTTCGACTTGCTACTCCTTCCTAGGTCTAGATTTGAAAGCTTTCTAGACTCAATGGTCTAAATGTTCTGGGAAATCGAACTTGAATCCTTCAGATGTGGTTGCATGGGCTGAAGCAGAGAAGTAGTTCATCGCGTCGTCAGGGACCCGCTGCATGCGGTTTCCCCTTCAAGTGTTCCACAGGTCCAATTCTCGTGAGATTGTCAAGAATATCTTGAGAAGAGGACCGTCGGGCTTAGTCCCTTGAATTGTACTTTGCTCCTCGGCAATCAGATCTCGCAGTCCACTGGTGCCAAAAGGTTTTTTCCAACTTGGACAAGAGACTCGCGCCTTTTGCGAACTCCTCAGATGACCAAATAGTGTAGTCCTGACACTGTGAACATGGTGGAAAGAATGGGATTCTTTTGGCCTTGCATCTTGCCCAGATAATGTTGTCCATATGTTCTATCAGTGGTTCGAGCTTGTCTTCTATCTGTGGTGACTGTACGAGCTGTTGATTGTCACATGATCCATGCACATCGAAAAGAGAAACAAGTTCACCGAGAGTTTGCCTCACACCATTGACTTCATCCTCGTCGAGATCATGGTCCTCAGGCACGGGTGCGTGATGAATGTTGTTTCACCTTTCCCCACCGGCTGAGACGTAGTCCGATCAAGCTGATTCTCAATAAATCAAGAGTGCTCTGCTTGCTTGGGTGGTATTTCGCAGATTCAAAGTAGTGGATACAAGTAGATAAGAGCTCTGAAAGGCTGGTGGTGTTGGCACCTATGACCGGACTCTTGGTATGCCCGCTATTGGAGCTAGAATCGCAGCTGTCCATGTTGATTTGAGGGAACGTTGCGCTCAGCAGAGGAAGTTTTGAGTGATTATTCCGCAATGCAGTGGGAACAGGGAGATTTTATCATTCTTGTCGATCCTCCCCTATGAGAGTTAGTCGGATGGATAAACGCACACGAGCCTCGCAAGGTTCTGTGCGAAACGAAGACAGAGGATTTACATGTCCCAGACGAAAAAGTACAGCAAGGATCATGGTATCCTCTATTGCAGTCTCAAGAAGCCATGAGCCATGTCCCAAGCGATTGGGGTGAATCAGAGCGCACACCTCGCATGGAATCATTGTCTGAGGATCTTGTCCTACTTTATCCTCTCAATGTTCGCAAATCAACATCTGACATGTACACCTGCACTGATGTATGCAGGAGACTGGTCTTGTCGGCATGGACCGCTAGACTACGCACCATTGAGATAAATATCTCACGGGAGCGAATTAAGACGGGCCGCCAACCTGCTACGACTGCAAGGAATCCCGAAAAGTTCCAAGAACGATCGTGGACACGCTCGTGGCATAGTGAGGATTTTGGTCGCTTGTCACGCGCTACAGCCACACTCGACTCGATCCACGCTGAGCTTGTGCGAAATATGAATGCGCTTGGAATCAAGTCTGAGACTAAAGTTGTAAGCCCCTGGGAAGCTGATGCTTGCAAAAGTTTAGAGAGGGCGAGCCAGCTTCTGAAGATACGAGTTGACGGTATATTGCAGAACTACATGCAAGCCATTACGGTCAGGCAAAGCATCAACACCAATGAGCAGGCTCGTCAAGTCGGACATCTGACCTCAATGGCAACGATCTTCATTCCCATCTCGTTTGTTGCTGCTGTTTTTTCAATGGGTGGGGATTCCTTAGCTGATACAAGTAACTTCTGGGTCTTTTGGGTCATTGCGATACCCATGGTGTCGATTGGCTGCTTTTAACTGTTTAGTCGGTTTGGCAAACGTCTTCTTCGTCGGATGTCTCAGGAGACATCTATGGTTTGACGAATGGAGCCAGATTGCGAGGACTTTACCAGGAATCTATTGCGTGGCTTCACTATGATCTCTTTAGAAAAGCTCGGAATGTTTTGACAAACACAAAAGGATATGTCAAGTCTCTTGAATGCTAAAGCTTTTCCCATTCAAGACCCAAGTGAGCAAGAAGGAGACGGGGCTATGCGGAGAATAAGACCATGAAGTTGCACTAGTGCGAAGCCTTTCACGACCTCATCCTACGCCCCGTACACCTGCAAATTTCCGACATCGAGTATGTGGATTCGCGTGTAGAAACAAGATGTCAACTCCAACTAGTAGATCTCATCTCATTCTCTGGAAGAGGCTACTAGATGACTTCCATAATGTAGTACGGCATACAGTGTTGATATTCTCCAACCAAAAACACATTGACTGATATCTGGAAAGGCAGGCTGTAGCCTGACAGGACTGAGATTGTGGTAAAAAGCATCATGCTTTTACCTGCCAGGTCTAAACGAACGACTCCCAGAAAACACAAAAACAAAAGAGTTCACCCCCCCCGGTGGCGAGCTGGGGGTTACATCTCTGGCGCACATGCTGGGACTCGAACACGGGACCTCTGAGCCTTCACCGATTAGGCTGTTCGTGGACTTCAACCACTCCACCAACCAGCCGGTTTTGACCTGACCCCAAAGGGGGCGCCTACTGGCTGGTGACAGAATCGGAATTGAAGGGGGGGTATATACCCTTCTCGTGTATTCAGATGGAAGGTGCGGTAGATGAGGACCCGGGAGGGAAGGTGCGGTTGGCACCATCAGGGTCGTACCTTCCATTGTGATGAAGTCGGGAGAGTGTTAGTCATCTAATAGACCTCACATCTTGAAAACAGTTACTTCGGTCTTCTCACAAAGAGTTTGAGACGTATAGCGATGTGGACGGCGGTCCTGGTGGCAAAGGAGCAAGATTGGAGGGTGGCTTGTTCAACCAGAGACGGTAGTTGTCTTTCTTAATCAGTTCGCTGGGGGTGGTGTAGCAGTCCAATATGACAAAACGTTGCTACTGCCATCGGTAAAAGAAGCAAGACATTGGGAGCAATGTGTTTCTTTTGAAATCCGTTCACTAAAAAGAACCCGTCATCATCGTCTGCAAGGAGAGAAACATCGTGTCTCGTAAATCCCAATCGGGACTGAACCCCGCGTCGACCATAAGCTGCATCGACACCTTGTCGTTGCAACGGTTACACCCGCCAAGGCACCGGTAAGCTTATCGGGATGTAGATCGGGCTCTGGGAGCTTTTTTTGCCATGCGGGGGAGATGTCTAAGCGAGACAGGGGAGCCATGACCCAGGGAAACATCATGGAAATCTTCTTGACCTAAGGTAGAGAACCATGGCACGAGCCGGCAAAGGCCTAGTAAGAGACATGGGGCTCCCTATTTAAAGTCGGACTCACCACTTCAGTTCATGGCCTCTCATCTCACCTTTAGGATTTCGCCTCCACGATCCTCAGTACGATTTCAAGAGCATCAACCCTCTAACACACCATGATCCTCTCAACAATCACAGCTTTCCCATCCCTCTTCCTCCTCCTCATCCTCCTCCTCCACCCCCTCAAAACCACATCCCAACCCGCCCCAAACGAAACCTCAAGCTACACTTACATCGTAATCGGCTCCGGCCCAGGCGGCGGTCCCCTGGCCTGCAATCTCGCCCGCGCAGGCCACCCAACCCTCCTCCTCGAAGCAGGCGACGACGAGCGCGACGACATCCGCACCGTCATCGCCAACGGCGGGTACTTCATCACCCCGAGCAACAGCTGGTCCTTTTTCGTGCGGCATCATCCGGACGACGAGGTCGAGCTACGAAATAATCACCTGACGTGGCGGCTTCCCTCGCAGAATGGAACTGGAATTGGACCGTACTGGGTCGGTAATGCGGCGAGGGCGCCCGAGGGGGCAGAATTGTTGGGGGTGTGGTACCCGCGCGGCGCGACCGTGGGTGGTTCGAGCGTGACGAATGCGATGGCGACGTGGTTGCCGAATGATTCGGATTGGGAGTTTGTGCAGAATGTTACGGGGGATGCTTCGTGGAAGTGAGTTTTGTCTTCCGCAATTGTGAGCGCACAATGAAGATATCTAGACTGGAAAGGCTGACTCTGTCATGGTAAAGCCATCAAAACATTCGGCAGATCTTTGAGAGGGTCGAAAAGAACAACTACCTCCCCGAAGGCACGCCAGGGCACGGATTCGACGGCTACTTTAACACGAATCTTGGCAACGGGTCTCAGTACCTCAATAACCCTGGTCTCATGGACATTCTCAAGTCGCACTTGCGGTCCATTGGGAAAGACCCGGAGAAGCTTATCGAGATGGTGGGCAGCGACGGGAACTTCCTCGGCGAAGAAAGAGACACGACGGAGGGCATGTGGGGGCTGTCGTTCCATGCGACAGACAAATGGGAGCGGTACAGCTCTCGCACATACATCTACGAGACTCTGGCAGCCAAGAACGCAGATGGTTCTCCCAAGTGGCCGCTGACCTTATCAACGAATTCTCTGGCCACGAAGGTCCTGTTTGAAGAGACAGAGGGTGGTAAGCCTAAGGCCGTGGGCGTTGAGTATTTGGCGGGCAATTCAACGTACGGCGCCGACGTGCGACGAAATGCGTCAACGAAAGGGGAGACACGACGATTAATGGCATCTCGCGAAGTCATCGTTGCAGGCGGCGCTTTCAACTCACCTCAGCTACTACAGCTCAGCGGCATCGGGAACAAGACACATCTTGAAGCACTCGGCATCGAGGTCGTGGCAGACTTGCCAGGCGTGGGGCGAAACCTCCAAGACAACCAAGAATTTCCGGTTGTGGGCCACGCTCAACTCAACCTCACGGCTACCCCAAACCCCAACGAGCCCATCTGCGCAAAAGGAAGCCCTGGAGATCCATGCGAGGAGCTGTGGCGGCAGGGGAAAGGCCCGTACATGCGGCCAGGGTATAACTCGAACGCGTTGCTTCTCAGGTCCAACTTTTCTCTAACGGGAGAGCGAGATGTTTTCGTGTTCAGCTGGCCAAGGGCGTTCCGCGGATTCTGGCCCGAGGTACAGCAGCCGGAGCTCCTTGATCCGCCGACTACCGTTGGCTTCTCAACAGTCAAGATGCATCCGCAAAACACGGCCGGGTACATCAAGATTCGGTCCGCAGACCCGACGGAACCGCCGCAGATCAACTTTGAGCTGTACAAGGAAGGTGCGGAGACGGATCTGGGAGCATTAGCGGAGGTGGTGGCGTGGGGCCGACGGAGCATGCGCGGCGTCCAAGGCCCGTGGGGTCCAGTGGAGCCGGCCGAACCCCCGTGCTCGCGGGTCGAGAGTGATGGCCTCTGCGGCGATGCAGACCCGGAGTCGGACAAGGACTGGATCCGGGAGCAGACTTTTGGACATCATCCTACAGGAACGTGCAAAATGGGTGCAGCTCATGATGGTATGGCGGTAGTGGATTCCGAATTTCGTGTGTTTGGTGTGGACAGGCTCAGGGTTGTCGATGCGAGCGTGTTCCCGCGGGCTCCCGGAGCATTTCCTGCCGTAGCGACCTTTATCATTAGCCAGAAGGCGTCAGATGTATTGCTGGGAGGTCGAAGAATGTCGGAGCCGTGAGGAATGATGGTGGTAGGCCAGAATAAGGTAGTTAGATGAGACGACGTTACGCGGGGTATCGAGTATGAGAGGGTTCTAAGTTCTTCCATGCATGTTGAAATATGAAGTGTGAAGTGCCAGCCACGAGCCACGTCGCCCTGGCGTCGCGTCGCAACACAACTGGATGGGAGTGTCGCATTTGGTCCTCAGAGCAGTCGCGTCGTATCCGTACCGAAGAGCGTCATCTGGTCTTCTTTTTTCCGTTGGGGAATCTGGGTCGTTCAGGATGGGATGAAGGGAGGAATTCAGGGTCGTCTGATGTTCTGGAGCCTTCCAGTAGGTGGGATACCTTGGGGAGAAGCATGTGAAGGTATCTCAGCTGCGAAAATGAATGGGATAGGTACGTGGCTGGAGTGTGGCTCTGTCAGCGGGGCTACCTTGCTCCTGGTCTAGGCACAGCCACAGTTCCCCCCACTCCTGGCAAGAGCTCCTCACATTCGGAGGCGATGACGTTTGGACCTCGCCCCCCTCGTGGCCCACTTTCCCCCTCCGAATGGAAGCTGGCAGTGGCACTGGGCCCAGACTGGCCCCTGCTCTTACTTGCTGTTCTCGCTCTTGCCTTTCCCTCCCATCCTCCTCGATGCCCAGCCAGACAGGGCAGCTACCACCACATAGCCCCTCTTTCCCTCTCTCAACAGGGTCCCTGCTCTTTGTGGTGCCCAGCATCGTCACCAGCTGGAGGCCGCCCCTTCTGTCCCTGAGTCTGGGCTAGCACGCTGGGATGTGGATGGATGCTCTTTCGTCGCCTGCCTTGGCTCAAAGGTATAGCGCGTTCTCATGACCCTTTCGTCTGATCATCATAGGTAATTGCCTCCAACATTCCCATCCAGACACGTCCAGCTTTTACATAAAACCCATCATCCACACAATTTTTAGCAACGTCCTTTCTGCTCGTCTCATTCTTTGCTTTTTCCCGGATACCCCCCCAACTTGAGAGACAACGTACATAACCGCCCTTGATACCCCATCCAGTCTCCAGTTACCCCTCACAAAACTCCCTCCTACAACACTTTCAAAAACACACTTCTCAACAACTCCAAACGTCAAACAACCGCCATCATGTCAAACACCACCGTTCACGTCAAGAACATCGCTTCGGCGACTGAGGATAAGGAGATCAAGGACTTCTTCAGCTTCTGGTAAGTTCCACTCTCGTCAGCTCTCCCATGGCCTGATACTCCCTGTTTTCACCGCAAGTCCCACCACACAACAGAGCAATTGCTGATATTCTGCAGTGGCAAGATCACCAACATCGAGGTTACTCCCGCCGGCGAGACAAAGGATGCTGCCGTCACATTCGAAAAGGAGACCGCCGCCAAGACGGCTCTCCTCCTGAACAACACTCAGCTCGGCACCTCTCACATCACCGTCACCAGCGCCGGTGGCGACCCCACCGACGACGCCCCCCACCACAAGGAGAACGCCGACCGCGACTCGGACGACATTACACAAGAAGAAAAGCCTCGCTCTCGCATCTTTGCCGAGTACCTCGCTCAAGGATACGTCGTTGGTGACGCCGCTCTGCAGCGCGCCATCGAGCTCGACAGCCAGCACGGCGTCTCCAACCGCTTCTTGACTACCCTCCAAGGCCTCGACACCAAGTACCACGCAAGCGACCGCGCCAAGGCTACGGACCAGTCCTACGGCATCACTGCCAAGGCCCAGGGCATCTTTGGCGGTCTGAGCTCGTACTTTGAGAAGGCCACCAGCACGCCCACTGGCAAGAAGATCGTTGGTTTCTACGAGACCGGCTCCAGACAGGTGCAGGACATTCACACTGAGGCCCGTCGCCTTGCCGACCTCAAGAAGGAGGAGCATGGCGGCAGTGCCTACAAGGCCTCCGGCCTCGAGAGATTCCTGGGCAAGGAGAAGGCTGCCCCCGCTGCCACCGGTGAGACTATCGGCACTCAGTCTCCCATCCAGCCCGACCCCACGACGGCTGTTCCTCTGTCTAAGCCGTCGGCTGCCACCGACGAGAAGACTCCCTTGTAAAAGAGTGATGAGAACTGGTTTGCAAAAGGATTTGATGGCAGGCGTTGGCTGGGTTTATTAGGCACAGACGTTTCATGATTGCGACGCGTGTGGTTTTCCTTGGCACTTAGGTAGTTACGACTTTGAATGCAAATCATGGCATCGAATATGCTTACCCGTTTACTTAAATAAATGAGGTATACTTTTTGACCTCGCTGTGCATGTTGCCTATCTGAATTGTGCTGCCGCTCATTTCATGCCGTATTGGTAATTCCGTCCTTTGGTTGTGAAAGGCGACTTGACCGTGGTTGCATTACTACAGTTAAAGAAAGATCTCATAATGATTACTCTACATGTGTTCGCGAATCATCACATCCCAAAACCTCAAAAGTCCACGCAATCTGTGCTGTTCTGAGGGCGATGAGTGAACAATACCGTAGTTGGAAGAATGTAGGGTGAGGTAGAAAGGCAAAGTTCAATCCAAAGGTACCACTTCAATCGCGAAATTTTGCAACTGTGATACAGTACCAAACTTTAGACGGCGCACATACATCCTTCAAAATTTTACGGCAAAGTGGACGCTGGTGCTTTCAAATGCTTCTTGGGCAGCTTAGGTATCTATAGTACAGTCTCACATTCGCAGTGTGTGATGTCATGCCTCATGTAACATGTTTCCCAACGCCGTTTCTTACAAATGCCATCCATAATTGCTCTAGACCCCATGATCGTAATACGGATCGGTCTTTTTTACTCCTTCTTAGAAAACTTCTCCTTGAGGGCGTCGTCGAGGGGTCCCTTGGGGTTGGACTCTAGCTTCTGTGACGAGGGAATTCGATTAGAATCTGAACTCAAGATTCCCTACTCAAGGGATGGGCAGGGTTGATGGGAAACGAATGAAAAACACGTACATCGAGAGACTCCTTGTTGGTCTGCTCCTTGTTGGAGGCGTTGTCGGTTCCCTTGCCGGAGGCGGGGGGGTCCTGTTGCTGAGCGCCGGTTTGGCGTTCGGGAGGGGGAGATTGGCGGCCTTCGGGCATGTTGAAATGTGTGTGTAAGGTAATTGGGATTATGGGTTGATGGAATGGAGAGGTACTGTCGTCAGTGTGATGAGGCTTGGTTGGTGATGAAGAAAAGTTCACGTTCAGGAATGGAGACACATGGGATTAAATACAAAGGCTCAGGTAGGTAGGTCACGGTCTATGCTGGGACTCAGGGAATACTCCAGAGATACATCATTCTACATCACGTTTACGATATTCATCCAGACGAGGAAAGAGGGGCAGAGAACGGCCCAGTCTCAGTACGGAGGGGCTCTTGCGTCAATGGAGGGGCGTTGCACGGAGGCGCTTCTCTAAGCTCCTACCTTCTGCTCTGTTGGGCAGAGAGAAGGGTGCGCCTTGAGTGGTGGGAACTGGTCGAATGAGGGGAGATTAGCAGCTGGTTGCTGATTGCGGCGGTTGACATGTTGATGCCGTCATACGGCATGCGAGTGGTGGTGCACTGGTGGTTGGATGGAAGGTGACAGGAACCTAGGTGCTCAGAGCTCGAGGGGCGGCGTCGGGTTTGACGTCACCTTTGTTGAGGATGAGGGTGAGGTGAGAAGCTTGATTCGATAGGCTGCTTTATCGATAAAGCTTTGCTGATTGTCTTATCTCATCTTATCCGCTATCTTATCTAATCGATAATCAAGACCTTATCGAAGTTTAGTGGCTCCGGGTGAAGAGCGGGAATATTGCCGGGCTCGGCGGAAAACCAAAAGACGGAGCGCATGAGCTGCTAGGAGGAAGACAGCGGAGGGTCCGCTGAAGAATGTCGCTAGGAGAATAGCCGACCGGAGCGGACGTCTTCCGGTACTGGGCTTGGGACCTAGAGGTGCGTGTCGCGGTAGCTTGCATCGCCAGAAACGCCTGTCATCGCCGTTGATTGATCGTATCCCTAGAGTGATTCTTGTGAGTCTCATATCTCAATTTATGTTCCATCGGTGGGTAAGGATCGCTGTGACGTTAGGAGGTTTGGGAAAAGCAATGTCGTGGTCTCTCTGCAAATTGCCAAAGATGAATGTCTTAGGTTCTATCCCCGACCCAGACATGTCGTGAGTCGAATGTAATACCAGTCGGAGTAGCTGCCTGCCGTGAGGTACCGTGGATTCGCACGAGAACCTGTAGCTCGTAGACTGGGTCTTTGAGTATGGTATCCGTTCGCCGATGCCGATCTGTAGCGGTCGAGTGTTGACTGTGTTGTCGGTGTTCCAGGGGTGTAACGTGAGCGGCACAGCCAAAACATCTCTTGAAAATGCCCATGTTGTGATGCAGTGGAGCGCGCCAAGTGATTACCGTCGTCCCATCCCCAACGCTCCCGCATATCCAGATGAAGACGGAGAGAAATGCTGCCCTGACTACTGCGAGGAGTGCGAGGGTGCCATGGTTAATTAATAGAAACCTGCCCCTTCCACTGCTTCCAGGCCTTCCAGCCTTCACCACGCGGCCTGGAGTGTCGCAAAAACAGGCTTCAGCCCTTCGGCACGATATTGAGGGAGCATTGGGGCATTTCGGGGTCCCTGTTTTCGAGCGTTATGGACAAGGGAAGCAATAGTAAGAAAAAGTCTAAATCGCGGGGCACACCACCCGAATGGGCCAAACAGGCACGGCGTCGATGGTAATCATGGTAGAAGGACGGGCTTGCTTGTCTCTTTGGAACTCGGGGATATTGGAAATGCGACTATTGGTGATTTGCTCAGGCTTAGGAAGCACAAAAGTGGTGTCATGTCTCACTGCCTCGGCCGAGCTTTTTCTGAAGCCCATGAGGTGGCCCGTGGATGATGGCGGATCGGCTTGCAATGTTTCGATCCACGACACAAACGACAAACCGGGGGGGGCGGGCACCACGGCAGCTGCACGGGATTCAAGGGATGACAGGACGGGAAGCCACATGGACAACACACGGATGGGGCAAGTCGCAAAAAAAAAAAAAAGTTGGCTAAGAGCAAGCGG